ACACTGCATTCGGCTAGTATTGCTGGATCAACAACTGAAGATGCACTGGCGAACATACATTTCATAGAAATATTCCGTAACATAGATCTCATATGAGAAGTTTCTTCAAAGATACATTAGTGGAGTAATCGACTGAATTATCGGACAATTCAAGCATCTCTGAAGGATCGATGAGTGTCTGCTCGTTCTGGCTGTTTTTCGTTCAGAAGTAAGCGAATACACTAACTGTTTTCGGGTTTGATACCAGTTTTCAGGCATGCGATTCCAAGTAGCTGTATAACCCAACAGAAGTTCTTGTACATTTGACTCATATAAACACAGCCAACTACTTGCAGTGATATTTTGACGAATATTACTGATGCATTGTAAATGATCAGCTTGTTCCATCTACAAAAGAATTAGTTTGTGCTTGTGCCGAATTTTGACTTGTTCATTCGAAAGTTCCAGTTTCAGAAATGTTTCCATAAGTGATTTAATTTGCACCAATTGCTGAAAGGTAATCATTTTAGAACGTAATGATTCGAAATGTTTTTTCACCGTGTTTATGCTTTACATCAATTTGATTGCCTTTATCACCAAAATGACAGAAATTAGATTGTGAGATGGCGAGAGACGCGAATGATGCGTGAGGAAGTGAACGATAATCAGTTGAGAACGTACAGTGCGAGTGTGATTCTCATTGGTTTCAGGAAAAGTGAGTTTCCGACCCAAAGAAACATGAAACATCCGACGACATAGCCGAATGCAAACAACGTCACACGACTCGTGCCCGCAACGAAAACAACCGAAAGTGTCACCCAATAAAGATGTACGAATATTATTCGTTTCAATCGATCCAGCAAAGAATCCCTGAAAAAAACCATCGACATGTTTCATCCAATCGTTCAATTCAAATCCTATCGTATCTTGCTATCGAATCGTTTACAGTGCAAACTATGACTATTCTCCAAATTGCACGATCACGAAAAGCGATGCAACGAACATTTTCCCAACAAAATCCGGCAATGCTGGCTCGTTCACTTCTTCAGCCTTATCATCCGAGTCAATTTTGAATAGCGCCTTACGACCGTGACGTGTGGAAGGGCCATCGACGATCGACTCATTTGTACCACCGATATAATCCTGCTCATTTGCTTCGATGTAAAACACGCCGAGTTGTTGACATATGAACAGAAGAAGGAAGAAATCCGCTGAAATATCAAAAATGAGCGAAATTTTAATGAATGCTGAATCAATTTCGAATTTCATATTCTTTTAAGAGGGCCAATTTGTGGAACGGAATTTTTTAAACTGTGGTTTCGATGTTTTGAATGACTCCTCTCGACAGAGGCAATGGTGACCTCAGAATGGTTTTCTAAGACATGACAAATGCTTATGAATTTAGCGGGTTTAAGTGTAATTCGGCAGTGTCAGTGGATATAAGGTGCATATCAAAGGGATCAGTTTTAGGTTAAACTGTAGTGAAAGTGTCGAAATTTATCATTTGTTTTACTCGAACCCATCTTCACATCAATAAAGGTTCATTTAATGTTACCATATAATTTGATTGGATTCGGACGAATGTTGAAATCAGGCAAAAACATCCATTCAATCATATTGTGGTCCCAATTGCTCCATGGGTAGACTGAAATCAAGAAAAGTGGTAAAGTCAGGAGCATAAATCCTTTCGATGACATGATCGTAATATGGTATAACAGATTGCTTGTCAACTGATAGCTTGCTCGAAGGCAGAGAGCCTATTCGAGTGACAAGAATAAATCGGTGAACATTTAAGATGTAATTGAAGCAATCTTCAGACCTTGACAGAATGCTTTCGGTATTCCAACACACAAAATGTACTGCCATGTGAATAAAAAGGCGAAAGAAATTGCTATATATGACCATATACTGGCTAGTTTTTTACGTTCAAGTGACAGCACTATCAAAAGCATTATCGCATAGACCACAGACAACATATCACTTCTTAAGCCAATCGTTATCACTGTTGTCATGAGACATACCTGAAATCATATTGCGATCCCAACTATCACATTACAATCCGGTTCCTTGTGTGTTTTATCTGTTGAATGATTTCGATCAAATGATCATCATATTAGAGCAATTCATTCTATGGCTCATCAAAATATTAGTTACGAGAGATATTGCTGAATTTTGACTTGTTCATTCAAAAGTTCCAGTTTCAGAAATGTTTCCGTAATCCTACATTAGTGTGTTTTTGAGATAAGAAACAATGTGGACATATTTCGTGGCAGTTGAGAAAGCCGAGCAATTTTACGTAAAGAAAGAAGTGAAAAGAAGAGGAACCTCAAGACCAAAGCGATAGAAGAAGAAATTGACGAAATATTTGAAACAACTGCAAAGATCACGATCCAGATCCTGACGGGTGATGTTGTTGAATAGAACCCCTTTTACTGGAGTCATCTCACCGCGCTCGTATCGATGCAGAGATTGACGTAGTTCAACGATTGAACGGAATGCCAAGAGTATCGTCAAAAGAATGTAATTCTGAAATTTTTTGCGCGAAACATTTGAGTATTTATCCTGTTCGGCTTGAGTGACGATGAGAACGGATGAGATATTTGCTTTGAACTCGGAAAATAAGCTCAAAGACAACTAGAATCTTGCGAACATTTCAGATGCTGATCAAATCACTTAACGATAATTACTTCTGAGTAGAGGCATTCTGCAGAAGAATATGTTCGTAAGAATCATCAATGATTAGATTTATTAAGTAACATTATTTCTTAGAGATTATTTCATATAAAGATGTTAAACATGCGGCAATCAATCACATATATTGTGAAAATGAGGCTAATGTTCATTGATTTTAGTTTAATAATTTCAGTTTTAGTTTCCAAATTTAATGTTAACATTTCATAATTTCATCGCATTTTACACGGAACATGCGTAATTTTCATGAACTAAATGCTCGAATCCCTCCAGTTTTCATGTTTTTGTCGATCACTTAATGGATATGGCCGTACAAAGAGATGAATTTACCCTTGTGTACGTGAACACCCCATCGGTTTTGTGTAGTCCAACCCAATCCGGTGCATGCACTGTGTCGTTGATACCATAGAGATCCTTCAATTCGTATTCATCAATACTAACGACCACCAATTAAATTATTTTCTTTGCAGACTTTTTTGCTCTCTCAAGAACAAACCTGTGCTTTGTAGCTATGCACGTTACTTAGTACTAATAGAAGAAAGCATGCTTAAACATCCCAATGAATCATGTTTCTTTCACTTTTATAACATATAACTTAGCCAGCGAGAATTGTCAACTCAGTGTAAGAATCTCAATTTGAGTTTCTTAATAGAAATACGCCCAACTAGGTCCATACACAGCCAATCATCTTGATTTGATGTGGAACCGAACAAAATCACGGAATCGGTGTTGGTTAGCAATGCAATAGTTTTTCAGCAGAAATGGAGCAAAGTCACGTATAAACTAATGATGACAAGCATGAAACTGATAGCCACCTCACAATAGACTGTCAACATGTCCTCCTTAATGAATTCCATTTGATAGATCATCTTCAAGATCACAACACACGATGTCCATACAGCGGCGCAAAAACTCATTTTCCTCGTATACTTCGGTTTTGTCAACGTAACAGCAACATAAATGATATACGGTATATTCATTGCACCAACCTAGAACGATACGATAGTGAATGAATGTTCTGTTCATAGAGCACTATATTCGGATGCATCAAAAGATATGTCTGGATGTTGAATGGAACGTGTTTAAGACATTGCAAAGTTGATTTGCACTGATAATGTGACTATTTTAATCGATATTGATGCATCCAAACGTTCTCATAGCATGTCAAACATCCCGCGAGTCAATTCTGTTGATNAATAAATTGGTGTAATATCTCAGAGGATTGATTCAAGTATGTTTATTTTTTGACTGACAGCATATCACATCCATAAATCCAAGCGATCGCTGATTATTGTTCACGCTCGTTGTAAACATGAATCCCTGGCAATGTGGAATCTCAAGGCTGTGTGGTATTTTCAGATACACAAGCGTTTTTCAGAAGCAACAACAAAACAGAGTTCCTAGCAAGTGGCATGCAGAGTTGCGTGCTGGAGTTCGCAAACCAAATTCTCGTGCAAATGAACTTGTATACCTCTTGAACGCAGATGTGAAGCATGATAAACGCAATCGCCTTATCAATATGAATCTCAGTGAAACGCCATATCAAATTGACGACTATGTCGTGGTAATCCGCTACACTACGACAGTGTTCACCAAATTTTTCGATAACTTCTTTGACACGAGGAAAATTACGCTCTTCACCGTCTCCTTCAATATGGATGCGCACTTCCGTTTTCTTTTCTTCTTCAGCGCTTTTCTTCCTAAAATTGCAAGTAAACTGCAACAGTCTGCAGCTTATCAATCCGTAGAGCACAGAAACAATTTTATTGCAAATTCTATTGCGTCCCACTTGTCCATTGCAAAAACTTTTTGCATATCCATGATCAGCTAAACGAGCTGTACAATATGATGTATGTCTCATCCCGAAAGGCGGGCTGAGACGTGTATCATATTGTAAGTGTAAGTTCGTGACCTTTCCTTGCCGGTCAATTCTCGAACATGAATTGTCGCACAAAGCGAATGAATCATTCATTCCGGCTAAATGGCTGCTTAGAACGGCTGATAAGCGTTCAAGCAGCTCTCTCGATTAAAAAGCACAACATCCGGGGGCAAAAATAGCTGATCAAAAGGGCAATAATAAAAGTATTAAGAAAACCCATTAAAACCAGTCAAAATATCGGTCTGAAAATGTTAGGTAGTGATCTAATTTGCATATAATGATCTTCTTTGCATACGGTAATCTGCTTCTTTGCATACAGCTATCTTAAGAATTTGTATACAAGAAGTCTATATAAGTGAGACAGTCATTTGTCTTCTGTCTTCGTCTCGAGTTCGAGAACCACAGCCGGTTCTCCATTCTTATCTGGGTTTTCGAGTAAAATATTATTTTCTTCGTCTTGGTGTCGTCTACATCAGTCGTCAGACTCAGTTGGCGACAAACACAACAGAAACCCTGGGAAAGGGGTGGAATCTTTGTATAAAAGAGAGCCATCTGAAGCTTAGCTCATCTTCGGCTCATTCGTCTGATCATTCTGTTCTCTGGAGGCGTAGGCCTCAAAAATATATTCGTGAGGCAATCGCCTCGACACTATATTCTCGAGACAAACGTCTCAATTCGGTACTAGATCGACGGACATCATAGCCTAACACACTGTCAACAAACACCTGCCTTCAATATTTGGTCAACGAGCGACTCAGTTCGTTATTCAGTCAAGCAATACTCCTCAACCCGTTATTCTCAACACAATGATCCAGTGATTCATATTATTATGTTATTATTGTATTGTTGTATTATTGTATTGTTCTCCAGCTATCCCTTCTAGTCCCCAAAAGGTCG